GAAATTGAAAAGCTTATGTCCCTCGCTGTCACGGGCGGGATATTGATATCCAGTCTGTAGTAGTCGTCTGGATGGTCGCAGTAAGGAACTGGCCAAGAAGAAGACATTGTGGTGCGCACGCCACGCTCCATGAAATCTGTCTTACCATAATTGTCCTTGCTCTTATCAAAATCCTGCACCACAAGAGCGATACAGAGACAAAGGGGGAAGCCACACACTTACCTGGATCAGGTGGTCCCACATTCTCCAACCTGCCAGTCCACGACAGAATTTAATGATGGCAGACAGCATGATTTACACAAACATAATTCTGCTGTGGTGCCTCTCATCTATACTTACGCCACACTTCTTCTGCTGATTTCTGGCCGAGCGGCTTGACCTCAACGATCTCCTCCGTCAGCAAATAGCCCGATTTGTTTTGGTTGTCTGGTATGTCTCGTGCAGGATCGCGGCCGGCCTGAATGGCCTCAGCGTAATCCTTGACGACCCACAGGAGGTACAAGATGTTGCCGTTCGCAGCTCAATTGCCTCGTGGTGTTGAATGGCGACGCGCCCCCTCTCGAATTTTGTGGTGTTGAACTCCCACTCAATCTGTATATGTAAAGGTGTATGTGTGCATCTCTTTCGTCAGTGCAGTTTCCGTACCTTATCGTTGTGATTGACCATTTGCAGGATGCCAGCGCGTCCACCGTACGGGAAAACCGGATCCTGACGCAGAGGGGGCCGAGTGATGTCAGTGGCAGCCCGAAGGAGCCAGCCATTCCTCATGATGGAGGCTGAACCAGACGCCGGCGGACCGGACGCTACGTTGAAGGTCTTGGCGACGCACAAGTTCGAATCATAGAGATATGCCACGTTGGTCCCGAGGGGCGCCCACAAAGTCAGCTGGTCCATGCGTTTCCCTGGCATGCTGCCTCGAAGTCAGGTGTTCTCGCTGAGGACTGATAATACTAAGGCCACACAAACAAAAAGTCAGCCGTTCCATCTGTGCCAGTCCCATGACATATGCGGTCATCTCTGTGCATGGCTGACCACCTGATGTGTTGGAGGTGAGGTTGTCCTGATGCACGGAAGTATCCACGTCATCCATCGGCTCCAGGAATGATGCATCTGGGCCATCGGCACGCGACGAAGTCACGCGTTGGCGCCTCGTCGCGTGCCGGCGGACGGTGTTGCCTTGGGATACGGGCGCGGCCGAGGCGGAGCCTATGAGGAAGCCAACGAGAACCACCAGAATGGCCATCAGTGGCGTCACGACAAGAAGCAGCTGGCCCCCGCACCGACAACACGAAACAGACCACGGAAGGGACACGGAGATGTATGTAACGAAGGTGGTGCACTATTGAGTACTCTCACCTGGAGCAGCGGTGCCGATGCCTTGTGCAGATCCTGGCGCTGCCTTGGGACCAGATCTTTTCTCGGTAAATATCTCGGTAAATCTATCGGCCGATGCGCACTCATTTACATGGTAACTAATTTATGATGCATGTGTAAAGTCCGGACGCATGTGTAAAGTCCGGACGCATGTGTAAAGTCCGGACGCACTGTACTAAAGTACCGGCTCGCATGCGCACTCATTTACATGGTAACTAATTTATGATGCATGTGTAAAGTCCGGACGCATGTGTAAAGTCCGGACGCACTGTACTAAAGTACATTTTTCATTTACATAGAAACGGGCGACGCATCAGTGTACAGTCCGGACCGCGTAAGTGGGTCACCGCATAAGCGGGTCAGTTGCGTATGTGGGTCAGCCCATCCCGATCACTCTGTACACAGTCAAAAACGGACCGGATAACCGGGTCTCCTCACAAAGAGACTTAAAGCAGCCATCCAAACCAACCATTCATGGCTCAAAATGACCGCAAGACAATGAAGAACCTCTCTGTTAAAGAGCGGACCGATGAAAGTGTGATTCCATGGAGAAATACAGACATTTTGATTGTCATCTTCTGAGATGATCGACGGATTTCGTAAATTTGAGTGACTTTGAGCGAGAAAAAAAGAGTCAATGGGCTTGAGAGGCTCCTGTGATTCATTCACAGCGAGAAATCACTCCAAAAGTCGCTGGAAAACTAGTGGGTCAGCTCTGTAGTACGTATAAGCGGGCCAAACGCGTAAGTGGGTCAGCCCTGTACTGACCCACTTACGCGGTCCGGACTGTATCAAGCAAACGAAGGGATAAAGCTACCTAGATAAAGCACAGCCCTCTCGAGGTCGAATTCACTTAATTCCCTCCGTGATATCGTCGCACATCGGCATCCTTTCTCTACGTGGTGTCCCTCCTTTTTCCCCTTGCTACCAGCCGAAGAGCGCCCGACTGCGTACAATGGGCACATCATCGATAGAATGAGGCGTTGCGCCTCCATCAGATTCGGTCGGAGACGAAAGGACAAGAAGACATATACAGAGACCAGTACCGCGATTGCTCGAGGAATTGATGAAGCTTCGTCCTGCGTGTGAGTACGCAAGTCACTCTCCCACTCTCTCTCTCTCTCTCTCTTTTACTCCCGACCCTGCCCTCTCTTCCAACTCTTACCCATACAGTCCTATCCTTTGCCATCTCCGTTTCCCCGCCTTCTCTGTCCCTACTAGCGTCCTAGTTTCGAGGTGCCGGTAGCAGAGCACCGAGTGCCACCGACGTCTTGTTACCGACAGACGTACAGCGGTTACCCCGCACTCGAATGCCACCGTGCCCGAGCGCAAGAAAGGTATCGTATGTCGGGGACAACGATAAGCGAAACCCTGTCTGCCATTCGGGCGACAACGGGATAGACTCATAGAAGGAGTACATTGACTAATCCCATCGAAGTTATCGAAGTGTGCAGACTCATAGTTGCGTGTCTATCGAGTCGTGGCCGACGACAGAGCAGCAGCCTTTTTTTTGGCGTTCATTCATATGCGCCGAATCATGAAATGCTCCCGCCACATGTCATGATCATGTTGCATCTCCTGTACATGAAGACTCACTTGCTGGTCACACTCTGTCTGTGTTAGCATCCGCCAATAAGCATACGGTAGCAGCTTTGCAACCAGACAAATTAAGGGCGCTTCGAGTGTCCGGCATAAACCCCGACCAGCAACACAAGTCAAAGATGGAATGGCGTTTTGTCCACAGCTTTTCGTGGATGGTCAAAGAGACATGCCTACATTCGAGTCCACGTTGAATTGCCATGGACAGAATGCTCAACTGGTGCGTAGACTAAAAAAGTTGAGACAGCCAGTTGCACTCCAACTGATGAAGTTGTGCGTGGAGCTGTCTTATATCGAAGCTGTCCTGGGTTCGCCCTGCACGATGCCGCCGATACACAGAATATACATTATTGGGGGAAAGCAAGTGAAACAAACCCTCACGCTCCCCTTAAAATCTACCTGCTACCCACACCCGTAGGTACTAATCTTCTCTGAGGCCTGAACGGTGTGCGGCTCCCAGCAGAACCTAAAAAACCCTGGACCGAAGGGTTCGGAACCACCCGATCCACTGCACGAGGACTGAATCCATTCCAAACCTCACCAGGGGGCTGAGACAAACGGAACTGAACCGAACCGAACCGATAGGAAAGAAGCCAGCAAGTGCCATCCATGTTAAGGGAGGAACGAAGGCCACATGGTGCTAAGGGAGGGACGACGGGAAAAAGAGGAGAAAAGAAATGAGAGGGAAAGGAGGGAGGGAGGGAGGGAGGGAGGGAGACAGTGGAGAGACAGGCTGCTTACCTGTGCACGCAGATGCGAGACAGACTGGTGCATACATGGCACGGGTCGGAGGAAGTATACAAGCCAGCATGCAAGCCAGGCGGCCCCGAGCATGCAGGGTGGCACGACACATCGACCTGCAGAAAGAACCAGGCATTTTCCGAAATCCATTGGGTGTCAAGGGAAAACCCTGGTGTGCCGGAAATCCAATGGCATCCGTGACTCGTTTTCCCATTTCTGTGGGTGGTTTCTGTTGGATGCGTCTCTTTCCCCCTTTTTTTCCTTCCTGTTCATTTCTGTGTCCTGGTCAGATGATCTGATGTTAATGATCTAGATCAACACAAGTCGACTCAAGCACGGGAACATATGAACGAAGGCGTGTAGGTCCGTTATGCAGTGCCGGTCATGCAGCCCAGCTGCCATGACCAATGGGCGCTGTAGCGTTGACAAGGCAGGGAACTGCCTTTGCCAAAGTCGCAGAGCGACCGGCAACAGCAAACAACACGGCGCCTGAAAACCACTGCTAAAAACGCACCCCGTGCAAGCCTCCTCCCCTGATCGGGCATTTTTTAAAACGTCCCAAATGTGCCGAAAAATATTTAAAAAGCGGCAAACCTGCGAAAAATATTTTAAACAACGCAAATAGATAAACATCTGAGGAGAAATTTTAAGACCTTTAGGCGATGACCGGGGGGGGAGGGGGGGCAGGAAATGCTATTTTGAGGCTTGTTTGAGCCATTGAAACCACGTTTAAACCCTCTTCACTTCGCCACCTCCATTTAAGACGTCTCAACCCCCTCAAAAAATCAAAGAAGTAATTTCAAAAATTCGATAACATAAAAACAAGGGAGTAATTCTAAAAAAAATCAAATCAAAGGGAGGAGGCTTCAACGGGGTGATGGCCACGCAAGGGAAGGGCTGAGTCTCAGCTAGAAAGAAAGACACCAGAGAGCGTGCATCGACGGCCTGCATGTATGAAGCCGACAAATCAGGCTGTGCGGTGAGAAATAGCGTACCAT